CCATCCCCGGCTCCAGGGAAGCCGTGAGAAAGTAAGTGGCCGCAGCGGACCCTGCAAGCACCGCCCCCGGTGTCCCCGCCGCTGCCGTCCTCCGCGCTGCACCCGCGCCGGGAGTGTGTGTGTGTGCGCGCGCGCGTGTGCCCGGGCGGGGCGGCCCCGCGACCCCCGCTGCTGGGGCCTGGCCGCGGTCGTCCGAGGTCAAGGAGAAGGAGGGGCAGACTTGTCCCGTGTGTGTCTGTGTGTGTTACAGTGTGTGAGCGTGTCCACTAACTCACCTGCGTGTATATGTGACCGTGTGTGTGTGTGTGTGTGTGTGTGTGTATATAACCAGGTGTGTCCACTAACTCACCTGTGTGTGTATGTGAGTGTATGTGTGTGTATATGTGTGTGTCTGTCCACTAACTCACCTGTATGTATATGAGTGTGTGTGTCCACTAACTCACCTGTATGTATATGAGTGTGTGTGTCCACTAACTCACCTGTGTGTATGAGTGTATGTGTGTCCACTAACTCACCTGTGTGTGTATATGAGTGTGTGTGTGTGTCCACTAACTCACCTGTGTGTGTGTGTATATGAGTGTGTGTGTCCACTAACTCATCTCTGTGTATGTTTGTGTGTGCGTGTGACCCCGCTAATGGGGTGCAGCTCAGTGGATGAAGGACCACAGTTGTAACTACAGCTAAGTGACAACTTAGGCTGAAGGATGCTGTGCACTTGTACAGTTTATGGGCTTAGGCCATAGGCAGGTCACTCACCTCGGACACACTGTGAGCCACAGGAAACGCCCTGGGACCTGCTTTGTGTATCCAGTTAACATGCTTCATGCTCTTTTGCTTGTGATGGTCCGGTTGGAGTGTTGTCATTGCTGAGATGGTCTGGGAAATTATGAGAGGCAAGGATTGTCTCTGACATCTGTTCCTGGGCCAATGGTCTAGGTGGGAGAGTGGTCAGACAGGTTTTCTATCACATGCCCACCCTCAGGCCTGGCCTATTTTCAGGTGTAGTAAAACAAAGTGCAGGAGACAGCAACAACTTGCCAGTTCATCTTGTGCCTATCATGTGTTGTATGTTTATCACAGGGGGGTCAAACATATGTGACAGCTTGTCCAGCAATTCTCCTAACTGTATACTTGGTCCAATGAAAGATGTCATAAAAGTGTTTGCCTCTCTTGCATATTAGGTGTACACAGTATTTTGAGGGCCACAAACTATTGCATATTCCCCCACCAACAAGTCTTAGATGGGGGACATCATTCCACATTGCTCCTCCCGGGCACCTATCCTGGCTCCACAGCCCCATGCATTCTGCCCTGACTCTCTCTTTACCCCCCCAGACAATCACAGTGAGTGCCTGTGAGGAAGACTGATCTGTGTACTGAACATTTTTAGCAGTTTGTCCTGAAAGGAGTGGTTGTGCTAACAGCTTTTCATGCAGGAGGTGCCAAAGGGCAGAAACCTGTTTGTGGTGACTAGGGCATTTGTGTCCTGACTTTTATTGCTGCCGAACACCTGCTGTTTGCAAGGACTTCAGTGTTAGCTCTGAAAAGCAGGCCACCGGTTAAAATTTGGCATCTGATTCCACCAACAAGTTAGATAATGTGTAGCATAGCCTAGCAGATAGAGCACTGGACTGGGATGCAAAAGATCTGCATTCTCTACCCAACTCTGGCACTGGATTGCTTGGTGTCCTGGGCAAGTCATTTCATTTCTCTTTGTGTCAGTTTCTCCATCTGTGCAATGGGTATAGTGATGCCTACCACTTATAAAAAAAGAAAAAGACTTTCCAGCCTTCAGATATGTAGTCTTAAAAGTTGACTAAGATAGCAAAATAAGTGTGCAACTTTTGGTTTACTTTGTCATTGTATTTATTTATATATATTTCAGCGAGGAGAGTCTGTTGAGTTTGCAGCTGTCCTGTTTTAGGACTCATGGGGAAAAATAATTCAAGAGCAGATTAGACCCAGGTTAGCCTCCTAGTCACTATAATCATCACAGATATGGAAAGTAACACAGTAGTACAAAACAATGTACAGTGCTATATTGAGCGTAACATGAAAGAACAATGTGAAATCTAGTGTGTTCAGTGCTAGTCATTTGAAAAAATCCTCTGTCAGTTATCAGGTATTGTTCTAAATTGATGAATGTAGTTCTTTATATTAATTCATGTGTTGCTGAAAATTCACCCCGTCTTCAGTTTAACTGGAGGCCAAAACCAAGCATGAGAAATTTTAGCCTAACTGGTTAAAGATTGGCAAAGCTATAAGTAATTGAAAACAGTGTTGTAATAGGAAGGCTTGACAGCCTTAATAGGCCTTGCTACTTGTGTCTTTTGCTATTAACTATATAAATCAATACAGAATTTTTTTATGAACATACTATAGATTTCTTTCATACGTACATACTGATTTAATTAGTGTCTGGGTTCTCATGTATCCTAACACAAGCTCAGACATGACATTCAGAGATTTTATTTGCAATTGATTTTGTAACTGATGGAAGATGCCAGGTTGGCAGGCCTAAAAACTAGTGTTGTTCACTTCTCCAGTACTAATTTCCTCACGCAATCCTGTTTCCAGGTCTAAGGTCTGTGACTACCACAGTTAGGTCAGTCTCCATTCCTCTAGAGTCCTTGCCTCTTGGTTGAGGCCACTGACAAAGAGTGCAGAGCATGATAATAATTCTGTGATGTGGACAAAACCATCGCTAGAGATTCACGGGATATTTTACAAGAGGCTGCTGGAGGGTTGTCATCGTATTGGTATGATAGTATAATGATGGTATCATTACGTTCCCTGCAAGGAAATTCAGGTTTTAAGCTGTAACACTAGAACTAGAACTATTTCATTCTCATGAGCTCTAGGTGGGAGACAGCTTGCAAGTCCATCTGCATTTAGAAAAGGCTTCAGGTCTGAGGGGGTAAAGGGTACTCTCTTGAGTTGGGTGCCATCTCTCTGCACCCCTTGCAGCTAGCACCATGCTCTTCCTAAGCCATACCCCAGCAGAGTAGGTTTAGTTTGAGCAGCTGTGCTGCTGTGCCCTAACCTGGATTTATTTTACTGGCTAAGGGAAGATTGTGCCAATTGATTTCTGTTGGCTGAAGTGAATGGAGCCCTTTATCTTTAAGGAGCCTATGAACATTAATCCAATGCACTAGAAGTCATAGATTCTGAAGAGTGAGTTCTGGAAAGAAGAGAAAATTCAACCATTACCTAATTTGTCACATTTGGCTTGATCTTGATGGCCAAATTCTTGTGCTGAATTAGTGATGTAATTGCATGGGGTAAAAGTCACTTGAAAATCTGACTCTTAATTTTATTTTAAGACCTGATCCTTTGCCTGCAGTGGGCTTTGGGTCAGGCTCTTGATGTGGGTATTTTAAATGCAAATTAATTTGTATTTGATTCATTTTGACTGGAAGGTCTAAAAATATATTAAAAACTATATCTCATCAGAACTGATAGAACTTTTTTGATATATGGGGTATGTCTTCGTGCTTCCACAGGAAACCAAGCTGTTTAGAGCAGTAAGCACTGTTATGGCTCATTGGTTTCTACTATTATACTTGGATGGATAGATGTTCTTATTAAGTGTTGACAATATGCTTGACAAACAAAAGTCAATTCCTTTTCTGAAGCATATACCTTCCTAGGCCTTTGCAAACACTTCTGTACCTGGTTTGCTTCATACATGTGAATAGCTCCATTGCGGAGAAATTACTGGGGGAAGAACACCGAATGCAATGGGACAAGGGATGTGCATAAATATTTGCAGGATGGGTCTATGAAAGATGAGCAATAATGCCCTGGGAAGCTCAGAAGAGAGAGTTCCTGGGGTGGGGGGTGGGTTGTAGTTATTTTTCTAATAAATACATGTAGCTATCAAGTGAAGCAAGGCCTCTCTGTGCTGTATATATAGGTCAATCTTATGGAATCCTGGCCTCTAACAGACTTTACGGTGATATTTGTCTTCAGGATTGGGATCAGAACTGTGCATAAGAAGTGTTAAGTCCCCATTCTGCTCCAGTGTATTCCATGCAAGTGGAACTGGAAGCCCTTTTGACTTCTCTGGAGCTCCTTATGGGCTCAGATGTCCATTTGCATAGAATGGCAGGAGGTAGGCTTAAGAGAGAGCAGCAGATATCAGGACTCAGGAAACTGTTGTAATAGTTTAATTTAATGAAATTAGAAAGGCCATGGAAAAAATTGTCCTTACATAGTTTTTAAGCATGGTCACCTCTGGATTCTCCATGTGACCTTGTAGGCTCTTGCATTTCATTCCTAGTTATTCTTCCTGTGATAGTGTTGGTATGACTTCCTCATCCTTCCCCAGCTGGTTTGCAGGGTCTTTTGGTTTGAGAGAGATGGCAGGGAAGAAAGCCTTCACCCCTGGTTTTAATCCTATGGTCAAACTGAAACATGCTGGGTTCTTATACATCATGATCTCGCCTCATTCTGGTATCTTGATAGTAGTATTTCCTCATTAATGCATTTAATGTCTCAGTCAACTATTCTATGAAGGAGAGGTTGCTAATCCTCATCCTCAGGATAACAACCTTTTGCCACTGTCCCTGGAGTGGAAATCCATCATTCGTTGCTGGTCTTAGCCAGGCCTATTAGATGATGTATTGTTGAAATGCCCTGGGTAAAGAGAAACCTTTGCATAGTTTGTTCCAATAAGCATAAAACACATGGCATGCATGAGATGAATTGGCAAGCTGTTGCTGTATCTTGTGTTTGCTCTTCTTCAGTCTCCCTAGGCCTCAGCACAAAATTATTACCATTAGCATCTCGTATTTGGGGTGTGCTGGAGAGGTAGTGAGTTTGTAGGAAGGAAGTGAAGGAGAGATTAACAATTTGGGAAACAAGTTGTGCTTTATGTGGGACAGTGGTGCACACTGATTGACATTGCTGGTGAAACAGCTTGCATAAGAGATGTCAGAAGGTTTTTCATCGTCCTTTGAAGCAGGGGATCTTGGTCACTGTTGAATTTGCTAGATCAGAGTTCTGGAAAAGACTTTCTATTGGGAAATT